GGCCGCTGCCGTGCGGCGCCTGCGAAGGGCGGCGAGCAGCGTGCCCTGAAGGGGGGGAGCGGGCAGGACCGTGCCTTTTCGTTGAATTTCGTGAGGTTTACGGTGTTTGAGAACGGCCCGTAGGGGACGGAAGCAGCGAGAGGAGGGGACTCGGCGCCTTTAAAGCGCCTCGGGGCTGTTCCCAAAGCCAGCCGGGCTTCTCGGAGGTCGGGTGCTGAGCGCTGCCTAACATCGGGCCTCGGGTGGCCTTGCCCGGCAGCGGGCCTCGCCCCCTCTCCCACCCCCGTTTCGGGTTGCTGAGCCCCGTGGCAGGAGTTCACGGACCCTTTTCCCCACCTCCAGCACCCAGCGCGGGGAGCAGAAGGCGCTAGATGGCACTGCACTTCACCGAACGGGCTTGCAGGCTCCCGGCTGGCAGCTACGCCAAGGCACGACCATGGGGAGAGCTGGCACAAGGACCATCGGCTGCTCCGTCTGTCTGTCTGTCCGCCAGGGGAAAGCATGGGGAGCTGAGCCGCCAGGGCAGCCGTACCGGAGAAACGAGTGGGCTCTGTAAGTTGCCTGGTTTTAAAAGCTTAATACAGTGGTTTTCCGTAGCATCGCAATCTACAGCCCCTGAGCTTTCCCTAATGGCGCAACAGACCCTAGACTCTCTTAGCAAGACTCTGGCTTCTGCTGGTGCCCTTTTTCAGGCTCTGGAGAGCCGTATTCTTCTCCCTAGTTGGGCAGGCCACAGGCTGAAAGTCACGATTGCACCCAGGAAGCCCAATCCTGATCCTGCGAGCCTTGATGCGATGAAAGAAAATTGATCTTTGCTGAGCCGCAGTTATCAGAGAGGCCCTTGGCAAGAAACCAGCAGATTCCGCCCTGAGGAATGCGGTACCCTACAGAAAACAGGAGGACGCGTAGAAAGCGATACTGGCTCACGAAGAGCAGCAAAGGACTGTATAAGCTGACATAAAAGACGAGTTACACGCAAACTGCAGTGAGTGTAGGAGCAAGCGAGTTGCAGGACTGCTCGCCACCAGCTTCGTGTCTAGCTGACCCCATCTGTCAGCGCTGCTCTAACGTATCCGCCGCAGCACTACCTAGGCACCAAACACAACGTTAAATTATTCATCATCGTCAGTCACGGCCCTTCGAAGCAGGAGAGCTTCTGGATGATGCGAGACTGCAGCTCGCAGGCTTGCGTCGCCGGTAGGGGAGGAGGGTGCCCGACGCGTGGGTGTCCGGGGCTGCATCCTGCCCTTGCTGGGAGGTCATACCCCGGGTCATCTTGGAGGCAGCGCCGGCTTTTCCATCTCTGTTGTCTCTGAGGGGCTCAGGTGAATTTGATCAATCCTAAAGCTGCCTTCATCAGCTTTTCCTTCTGCCTCTACCATAATACAAGGACAATTTGGTAAAGAGACTAGCAAATCGGTGCATAACCAAAAGGGAAAGCTCTCGGTGAGCAGAATTCCCTGTTCCAGGGCATCAGGGCTTTTCTTACAAGCTGGCTCCTAGGAGAACAAGTTTTCTCGTGATGAATAGTTTGATACCTGGACACCTCTGAGACGAGACTAAGAAACACCTTGAGAAATCTCAGCCTTCTGCCTCAGGGCACAGACCCAGTGGCTGCAAGGACCTCGGAGGAATCTGTCCTTCAGGGGAACGTGTTGGTTTTCCTTGGAAGCATTGGACAGCATCTGCCGAAGGGAAGGTATCTGACTAGGAGGGCCAATGGCTTGATGAGAAGCAGCGAAGCTTGTGGTCCTGCTGAGATCCAGGATTGTATCCGAGGACTCTCCACAAGGAAGAGGAGAGAGGAATTGAGTCTCTGTGAAGCAGCCGGGTTCCGCACAACGTGTTCCTCCCAGCTGTGCGCAGGAGCCGTGCTCTGGCTTTTGTCTGCCAGACCAGTGCACCGGGCGCTTGCCCTGTGCTAAGCAGGCAGGGACAGCTTAAATTCATTGGGTTGCTGCTGCTGGCTGAGCCACCGTGCCAGAGCCGCGTCCGTCCCTTCCTTCCTTGCTACGCCCACATGTTCCTTCAGCTCTGGGACGGAGCCACGTGGGGAGGGGGGCACTTGGGATTTTGGCACCTGGGCACACTTCCAATCCTGTGACTGGATGCAGGGAGCAAACTGGGGGCCAGGCGACCTGTGCTGGCATGCGAGTGCCTCCTGGGTTGGTCTGCTCTTGTTTGAGCCTTAGTCTTTGGAAAAAACGAGCTCTTGAGTATGACTGGTGCTAATAATTTTAATATACACTTCCTAGCAAGGCCTCACAGTAGGAGAGACTGAGGCCAGCAGCTACGTTTGGGAAGAGGGTGTTGGGTCTGGCAAGTGGGAGAGCAGGCAGGGTGTTTCACCGCGCCACTGGCTGCCCGAGTGACCTGCAGCAAGTCACCTAACGCGTTGTTGTCCTTCCACACCGAGGGAAGGTGGCTTTGACCCTTACTGCCTTCTTTTAACCACTCAGCAAGACTTACCGCTCTGGTTGTGGGTTGCGAGATGCTGGGAGGCGAGGGAGACCCTACCGGTCCAACATCCCCGTTGCTGGTGTGATGTTGCTGCATCGCACCTAGCCTTCCGCGATAGCTGGTGTGTGGGGAGCCCACCCTTGAGTCGTGCTGCAGGTCTGGGTGATCTCTTCCTCCGTGGAAATCTGTCTGTGTTTTCCTTCTGAACTGCTGAGTCAATTCCCCATGGCGGCTGTACCTGCAGAAGGAGGAATGGGGCTGCTAGGGGGGTATTAACACCCAAGGGGAAATGTGCGGGGTTATAAAAATCCCTTTTTGGTTGAGGAATTGGCCGCAGGCAGGATGCGAAGAGATCAGCATTTGTCTTAGCCCGGCTCCGCACTTAACCTTGAAACCTCTCTCTGCTGCCGCGAGAGGAAGCGGTGGGGGCTGTCTGGGCACGTCAGGCTCCATGGTGGCTACGCGGAGCCTGGGGAAGGGTCAGAGGCTCAGCAGCCCTCTGACAGCTAAGCGATTAATTAGGTGACTTGTTGGGTTTGGAGGGGATCCCAAACCAGTCTTCTCAGGAAGCATTAGCTGGTAAAGCGCACGTTTTTTTTTTTTTTTTTTTTTTTTTTTCTTTAGTGGGGCTCAGCAGCCTGAGGCTCGCCGGGTGGGCTCCCCAGGCTCATCCTAAGCACGTGCAGTTGGGCTTACAGCTCCTTTTGTTTTTGAGCTGGGATAAGATTTGCTTGCTGACAGGCAGTGTTTGTCCCTGGGGATTTTTTGACTGCCCATCTCATTCCTGTCCAGCCACAGGCTGGTGGTGGGACCTGGGATCACACCAACCTGAACACTCGCTCCCAGCTTCTTTCCACCCTGGGTCCTGAAGCCGCAGCTTTCTTTGGGCTCCTCCTTTCTCCTGTGGAGAGGAGGGATGCACAGGCACTTTGGTAACCAGGGAGAGGTTTCTCCGAGGTCTGTAACTTTGCAACTTTCCCTCTGCTATGAAAGCGCTCTTGGTCACGCTGCAGCGCCCGAGGCGTGAGCCACGGAGCTGGCCCAGCCAGACCTACAAGCCCTCCCAGTTACCCTGGTGAAGCTGAGCACAAGAGTCCATCCTTCGCCCTAGGGCTGGTGTTCATTACCTCCAGAGCCTTACAGTGTCTCTTCTTGCCCCATTTGTGGCAGGTCCAGGCAGATGGGACGGATGGAAACTGCGTCACGTTTGTGTTGCACGATGAGGACCACACGCTCGGCAACTCCCTCCGGTACATGGTCATGAAGAAGTAAGTGGAGCCTCTGTGGTGCCTGGCATTGCTGAGGGAACCTCTGTCTCCTACGCTGGCCTTCTCCTTACTGCTCTGCATCTCAGTTGCCGCTGGAAGAAGGCAAATGATCAGAAACTGCCTCTGTGCATGCCTGTTAGAGTCTTTATATCAGACACGGTCCCAAAGACTCCTTACCTACTACCTCTCTTCACAGGATCAACTTTTTCCTTGCGCTGTTAGTGCCAGGACTCCAAGAGCACTAATAGGCCTTAATGGGCCTGACCAGCCACAGCTAGGGCCTCCACCCACACCCTGCCCATGGGCCCAGGAGCCCCATTTAAGCTCAGCTCGGGGCTTTCAGTCCCTCCTGAGCGATGTTGTAGGAGTATGGGTCTCCAGCTCAGCCTGTGCTGGGCTGTGGACTCCGTTCACCCACAGACTGACTTTCTGACCTGACCTCAGCCCTTCCTCATCGCTGTGCATCTGCGTGGTGGTCACTGGGTCGTATCTGACCCTCATGACCCTCACCTGACGTAACACTGACCTGCAGATTGACTTCCTGGCCTGACTTTGGACCTGCTTCATCCCCACAAACCTGCCTGATGATCTGGACCCTTGGCTGACCCTGGCTACCACCTTTGCACCCACCCTACTCCCTCGCTTGGGTGCTGTGGGACAGGGCCACCTAGTGAGGCGTCTGTCTCTCTGTTTCCGGCTCCCAGCTCCCCATCCCTTAGGGAACAGCCAGTCCTCACTGCTCCTTGATGGTTACTGGTGGAGGAAATTTAATGTCTGACGTGAAAGTCTTGGCCCTGGATAAAATGATGCGCAACTCTACGTAAGTACACGTGGTCAGGCAGTATCTATGTCTCCTTCTGGGACAAGTGCTGTCTGAAAAGAGCATAGGAACAGCCGGTATTAAGCAAATTGATCATCTTCCCTGCTTGCATAGAGATGCAGGAATTATCTCACTGCCCCCATCAAAATATACAAATATTTTCACCCCGGTTGCCTGGTTTTACTGAACTGGGCAGCACTGAGGGTTTTTGAAAATCTACTGGTCAGCCTCAGAAGAGTTATAGCAGGAAGTTCAGTGCATCATCTCAAATGACAGTTGCATTGCGAATGTCATGTGAATTCCTCTAATAAATCTCCACAAGAAGATAAACAGCGGGCTTCTTGCCAAGGGCTGTTCTTTCTGCTGGGCACACGAATGTTCTGCCAACAACCTCAGCTTAGGAAGGCAGATGCCATGCGGCCTGCAAACCATCTCGGTAAATCCTTGCAGTGCCCTAGACCCGTCAGCCTCTTCTGCCCAGCAGAACTGCCATCAGGTTTGTGTGCAGTGAGGTTTCCAAGCATCCCGGATCCCCTGTTGGAACTCTGCAGGCCTGCCAGTGGACCGCTGGTGGTGCCAGGATGGTGCCCACGATCATGCTGCCCGTGTCCTTCCCCTGCAAAGCTCCAGCTGCAGCTCAGAGACAGATGGGGGTGTGTGAATGAGGTTCCACAGGTAGTTTCCCTTCAGCATACCCCTCCCACAAGTCCCTCAGTCATTTTGGAACCACCCTGAGCCCCCGCAGGTCTGGGGTGGCCTGGGCCTCTGACTTCCCGGAGAGGTGCTGTGCATTGCCCTGGGTTTCACGGCTCTCTTCTCCGCTCTCCCCTCCTGCAGCCCTGATGTGGAGTTCTGTGGCTACTGCATCACGCACCCCTCTGAAAGCAAGATCAACTTCCGGATCCAGACCAGAGGTATGGGGCTGCGCTTCTCCTTTGTGTCCGTGGCCCTTTTTTTATGCAATAATCTCTGCTCATGCCAGGTTTCCACCACGAATCATTTAAATAAAAGCACTTCTCTCCCCCTTCTCTGCTAGCCCTCTTGCTCAGCCGGCGAGACCGCTGTGAGCCCTTTCTGTTTCCCAGCTGTAGGGCTGAGCCAGCCGTGGCCCGAGGAGCCCGCAGCCTTGCCTGGTCCCACGTCTCTGGGTTGGCTGGCAGCGGGCACCAAACTGGGCTAGAGCAGATCTTCCACTCACTGTCACAGGTGATGGGTGCTCCATCTGCCCCCAGATCAGCACGGGGATTGGAAAGCAAAGCCAAGATGTGCTGACATACATAGCTGCAATGAGACAATTTGTTTCTGCTTCTCCTTCTCAGCTGTCTTGCAGCTTTGGTCATCAGGCCATGACCCAAAGCTCTTCTGAAAAGCCTCATCAGTCTGTGCTGTCTTTTTGACTTGCCTCCCAAAGAGGGCTTTGCTCCCTGGTAGTAGATAGCACCGACAAGGCTGAGCCTCTGGCAGTCCCTCACTCCTCGCAGCACACCAACCCCTTCGGCTCAGGCCACTGCCCTGCCTCCAGGCCCTGCGAGCTCCACAGCTTTGCCTGCTGCCTAGAGGGACGGTGTTATTTCATTCCTTCCTCACCAGGCTGTTCCCTTGAGCATCAGATATGTAGAACCCACTTCCTGGAAGCAAGTGTCTGGTTTGTGCTTGCTGACTCTTTAATTTCCTAGAGATAATTAGCGCTGAGGCTGTTTGCCTTGCCAAGGGACCCCCTTCCCCACGGGACTAACTGCAGGGTAAGCGTCTGCTGTTCCTGCGCCGCAGCCTGGACCGCCACGCCGAGCTCAGCTCTCCGGCTGCCGATGGCGGGCTGGGAGG